GCAAGGAAGACCTGGCTGAACGGAGAGATTGGGCTGGAACTCAGGGAAAAAAGGAGATTTTATGACCTTTGAAAGAAGAAGCAGGAAATCTGGAAGAACTACAAGGGTGATGTAAGGTTATGCAGGGATAAAAACAGAAGGGTCAAAGCACAACCAGAATTTAATCTGACTAGTGCCCTAGAAGACTGTAATAAAATAAATAAATAAAAACTATTTCTGTAAATACATTACCAGCAAAATAGCTGAGGATAATCCCCATCCTTTATTGGATGTGGGGGTAAAGAGTGACAAGGAATGAGGAAAAGACTGAGGTGCTTAAAGCCTTCCTTGCCTCAGTGGCAAATTAATAGCAAGATTGGTTTTTTTCGGGGTACTCAGCCCTATGAGCTGCAAGAGAGGAACAGGGAGCAGAATGAAGCCCCCATAATCCAAGAGCAAATGCTCAGTGACCTGCTATACCACTTAGATAAACTCAAGTCTATGGGGCCAGGTGGGATTCACAGGAGAGTAGTGAAGGAGCTGGCTGAAGAGGTCCCTGAGTCACTGTCCGTCATTTACCAGCAGTCCTGGCTAACCAGGGAGGTCAAATGCAACACCTATCTACAGGAAAGACCAGAAAGAGAAGCCAGGGATCTACAGGCCTGTCAGCCTGACCTCAATGCTGGGGAAGGTTGTGGCATAGAAGGTCATTTTGAGTGCCATCACACAACACACAAAAGGACAATCAGGGGATCAAGCCCAGGCAGCATGGGTTGTGAAATGCAGGTCCTGTTTAACCAACCTGATCTCCTTTTATGAAAAGGTGACCCACTAAAGTGTAGGAGGGAAAGGCTGCAGATGTTGTCTACATGGACTCTTAGTAAAGCCTTTGACACAGTTTCCCACAGCATTCTCCTGGAGAAACTGGATTCCTGTGATTTGGATGGGTGTAGTCTTTGCTGGGTAAAAAGCTGGCTGAATACCTGGCCCAGAGAGTGGTGGTGAATGGTGCTACCTCCACTTGCTGGCTGGTCACCAGTGGTGTTCCCTAGGGCTCAGTTTTGGGGCAAGTCCTGTTTAATGTCTTTATCAATGATCTGAACTAGGGTGTTGAGTGCACCCCCAGTAAGTCTGCAGATGACATCAAGTTGGGTGGGAGTGTTGATCTGCTGGAGGGCAGGAAGGCTCTGCAGAGGGATCTGAACAGGCTGGATCAATAGGCCATAGAATTATAGAGAACTTGTAAAGAGTCTTTCCACACAGAAGAGCCTGAATTGAAAAAAATCAGATGAATGTTTGCCAGTTAAAGCTGAGCAGAATTAGAAGGATAATTAAAACTTCAGTATATTGTACAGAAGGAATATGTGGTCATTGGGCTAGGAAACTAAGTATTTTAATTAACATGGCTAAAAATAAGTCATAGCAATGCATTATTTTGAAATCTGTATATGACCAAGCCATACTAATGTAAAGTAGTCTGACCTTAAGATCATTATATAATTTTCAGGGCGAAAAATTATTCTCAGAATCAAGAGCAGAGAGAAATATGTAAAGATTTAGTTGTTTTTTCAAAGATTTTAGCTACAGAAATAGATGCTTTTCCTGAGCATGAGTGAATGAATGCTGATGCCCTTTCTTCTCTCTTCTAATTAAACACTTCCCACTTCACTTCTGCTCTGCCAGCTCAGATGAAAGTTTGGAAGTCAACAAAGAAGCAAACTGCAAGAAGATAAAGAAAAACGGAAAGATGGGGGAGGAGATAAACAGTGATGGAATATATGGGAATAAAAGGCACAAAACAAAGATGTACCCCAGTTCATATCAGGGTGACGAGAGGCCTATCAATAAACAACACTAGAGTCAATGGTGTTTTTCAGAGTGTATCAATATGGGCAGAGTGGAAAGGCTCCTCTGCCTTTTCTTAGCATACTATTTCACAAAGATCTTTATCTGTTCAAAGCAATTTTATTATTTCATAATCTACCATACAATATTTTCAGGCCTTTGCAAGGCTTGTAAAACTTGGTACTAACCACACATAACATATTGTCAAACACACAGATATCAGAAATTCCCTGAGCTTCATAATGCTAAAAGCAGAGTAGCTCTGCTACCGAGCAGTGACAGAGAGAAAATACTGTTCTGACTCTCTGTGGCCATCCTCCTGTATAATAAAGCATTGCTTGTACTTTAAAACTGAAGAAAAATATCACTGATTTTTAAATGTTACAAGCAAATATTTCTTAAAACATTTTCTAGGGGTATTTATTTATTTGTACATAAATACAAATCCTCACATGGGGATCCTCACTGAGGATGAAGTATTGAAGAAGAGATTATGATTGGATATGAATCCTGAAGTAGAGGTTGCACAGGACTTAAATGTTCCATCAATTTTAATTGTGGTTTGTTTCAAGGATGGAATCTGATCAGAGTGGGTTCCAGAGTGGATCAAGGAGCTCAAAAACTTAAGTGTTGGCTCATCTTTAAAGGGCAAATGCTAGATTAGACACCATCTAAAGGCCATGCAGACAGACAGTACAACTTTCAGATCCATAGCAACAATTAATTCACTTAATTCATTACAGTTGTGACCTGAATTAATTAATTATTGTTAATCCACATAAACTCAAATACAAACCTGTTGACCAGCCTGTTATGCTTTTGTTTTCTTTATTTTTAGAGCTCTGAGACACTGCTTCTGATTCATTCACATTAAAACATGAAGTAACAACATAGTTTATGGTTGGATTGTTCCTAATAATTAAAAATCAAGTTGTCTCTATGCAATTTAAATGTGGCTAGCAGTACAGCTTCTAGTTAATTCATCTGTGCAAAATGACATCTGTGCAAAATGAGCATCTGCCTGTGTCTATTTAAGCAACATAAATAATCTACTGAACTGAAACTTCTTCATAGTTCTCCATCACTGTGCCTGTTGATTAACCAAGGAAATATAATTTAGTAACTATGTCATTTTAATCATTATGGAAGAACTTTGTACTTTATAATTCATACATACATACTTGCAAGTGTAATATGTTGGAGCAAAGTCCAGCAGAATAAGCACAGTGTGAAATAAGGAATATGCAATTTTGCTGCATTTGTGATAGCATGTTGGAGCTGATTTATTCACTTGGACTTAAGTAGCAGGCAAAGTACAACTGTTGAGAGTGAGCTCATTTACTTGTGTTCTTCCTTGCCAGTCTTCACTTCAAAGAGGTAAGATGCATGCCCAGGGCTGTTTTCTTTGGGTGATTTCTTAATAATTTATAATATCAACTTCTATTCTGGAATTAAACAGATATGTAAATAACTTCAATGTGTAAATATGCGTGAAAAAAGAAAAGACTGACTCATTCAAAAATGCTAAAAGAAAGATGAAACAGTTAAAAAAATAACTCCAGGTTGAAGGTCAAATTTCATGAAGTTTAATTATGCTTGTGGGTTAAGTTTTGATTTCAAGTCATTTAAAATTTAATAGTTAGTAATAGCAATAATAATAGAAGCTTTCAGGGAAAATGATACATGACAGTAGGAAATACAGGCACAGCAAACTTAAATGCTTTAAGGGAAGCACTGTGCCAAATTTCATGGAAGGTAATTTTCCAATTTATTATGATCCTAATGTCAAATGACTAACTTTGCATAAAACAGCAAATTATATGCTAATAGTAAATCATAGTTATTACTGAATAGTTTTAGGTAGAGTAGAAAATTCTGTTTTGCTGGTGTTTTGTATGGTAGGTATAAAACTTAAGTCTCAAACATGAGCTTTATTATGTTGATTTATCTTGAACATTTTTTTAAAAAATGTGCTGAATATTTTTTCACTCTGGAAAACTGTTTGCTGAATCTGCTCTAAGTCATTAGATTTATAAGGAATGTGGTCTTGTTGCAACATAAGCCACTGCAGAGGATACTGGCCTCTGCAGACTGTGTGCTGACACTGGCAGGAAATAAGCTCTGATTGAAGAGCTGTTTGCTGGATCTATTTTCTGCCTTCATCAAAGTCACTGTAGGGAGCCCAGTCCTTAAAAATTAAATTAAAAAAAAAAATTAAAAAATTAAAAAAGTTCGTCTAGAGACTAAATAAATGTGTCCTTTGAGAATATAGGAAACATTCATTATCCTGATTCAGTCTAAACTGTCATTGATACAGAAACTCCCCTTCAGAGAATCTGGGATTTGCCTAAGTGAGGACCGCAGGATTTAGTCTAGTAATAGCCTAAGCCTTCTTGCTGTATCAGATGGAGGGTTACAAGTTCTGTACCCCAAAAGGTGGATAAAATGAGGCTCAAAGCTGTTTTAATTCAATATATTGCACTCTTGCTTTTGGAGAGGCTAAAGGAAAGTTCTTTTTGATTTGTTTATTGAACTTTTGGGTTTTTAATCTGATTTAAACCTGTGACCTATTATTTAAACCTGTAGATAGAAATTCACAAAAAGCAGCATAGTTCAGATGTGCTTAAGTGAGTTTTCCAGTGCATGGAAACATTCCCAGCATTAGGAAAACCATGTCTTTGAGTACTGTTTGAGCTACAGACAGTCAGCAGAGATAATGTTACTGTTTCTGCCAATTTGACCATTGGTGTCTCTCCTTCACTGTAGTTTGGACTCAGGGAATAAGAAATTCAACTCTGATAAATATAAGATGTGCTTTTTCTTTTGTCATTACATTACTCTCAATGGCTTTTTTCATTGCCCAGCATGGCACAAGGTGACAGAGGTGAGAGATGTTCTAAGTGTCGCAGCACGGTTCTCTGTGTCACGGGAATGACTAGTCAAAAATGGGGTGTGAGATACCAGGAAAGGAAAGGTACCTCAAAGATGGAAGAAGCCAATTTTGACAGAGGCCTACTATTTTGAAGCTAGGTATTTCAAAGCCTTTCTCCTTCAGGACTTCCACACTAAAAATCCTAAATATTTCCATTTTCAGCTCTGATCTGTGTTACAGTTCTGTATTTCTGCAGGAGAACTGACTCAGAAGGAAGATGTTGACAAGCTCAGCAGGATTTATGCTGTTCTTGCTCTCTCAATGCACTGTGTCACTGAGCACCAAAGAGGCAGTGGTCCTGGCTAATGCCCACCTTCTCCCCCAGAGAGACTCTGAGAGACTGGGTAATGCCAATGAAAAAGGTACTCACAAAGACAGTGAGAGATTTAGATGCATGCTATGTTTTACTTTATTGCTTTGTCGTAACATTTTCAACTCACGTATTTGAAAGTTAGCCCTGAAAAAATAGTTTGCAACATGATCCTGCCGCAAAGTCCCAAATCTTTAAAAACCTTACTTTGCAGCCATCTAATTCAAGAGAAATCAACACATTGTTGGTTTTTGTGGTTTGTTTTGTTGTTGTTGTTTTGTTGGGGGGCTTGTTTGTTTTTGTTTGTTTGTTCGTTCGTTCGTATTTTTAAATAAAATTCTGTGACATTTGAAGACTTATTCTTAGAACAATCATACCTAGATTACATCTTACATCTTGATACCTAGATCCCATTGGTACCTATAATTGAGGCAACCCTCTGCCTATCTAGCTTTCAAAATCCAGCTTGGTACACTTTTAATACATTTACCAGAGTAGATCCCACATAAAATGTACACAAAGAGTAGTGGGATTGATTCATTTTCATCCCCAGACTAATGGCACTTTGGGGTTTATAAAATTTACTTTCCAAATTAATCTTATTTTCTATAACAATCAGCCTAAAATTTTTTCTCATTATCTGTCGATAGAAATTGTTCTATAATGTTCACTGAGGGGGTAAATACAAGTGTCACTGTGTATATCACTGAATTGGACATAACTATATACATCACTTAAATAATCCTTCTATAAAATCAGGGATTGGAGGCAGGCAGGCAATGTCTACCAGGCAAAAAATGGGATCAGGTTTGGAGGCAGGCAGGCAATGTCTACCAGGCAAATGTTCTAACAACTAGGGTTCAGAGTTGTGTACACAGGTCTGCTCTTTCAGGATATTTAATAATGTCATGCAGATAGTATTGAGATTTAAATTTATTCTATTCATGGCTGTAGATTCTACTAGGAAATGAAAGGCAGAAAACTTAAGACCTCAGAAAGCCTATATACTCCTGTAAATCTGTCTTGAGCGGCTTAGAAGTATCAATAAACTTCCGAATATCAAATATAAAAGACTATATTGAATAATTATTTAACAGGTTTAGTCCATCTGGATTTCTACAAAACCTATGATACAATACAATATTAAATCAGAGATGGTAGAGTTACATTGAGATTGAAAAGAAAATGAAAATGAGTTGGGTAGAAAAGTAAGCCATAAAGTCAAGGTGAGACTGGAAGTATTTGCTAATTATTTATCTTTTCAATATTCTTATGGAGTATACCAATGCAGAAATAGGAATATGATGATAGAATTTAATGATACCATGAAGGAGAGAAATGCAAATATAAAAAGTAGGAATATTATGTAGAAAACCCCACAGATGTTCTTAAGTAATATCACTGAAACAAAAAATAAAGTACAAAATTTTAGGTTTTACTGCAAGGTGGTTTTACTGCAAGGTGAGGACTTTATCAGCTTCAAAGAACCAAACTCCAGCTTAAAGGAAACTAAGCAATACAAATGCAATCCTAGAAAATACCAACAAAGATGTTTTAGTAAGACTTTGAAAGAATCAGTGTCCCCGTATAAGGCCATCTGCAATTCTGTGTGCAAATTATACCCACATTCTAGGAGAGTATCCAGCGAAGAGATGCAGAAAAGCTACTAAGACAAATAAGGAACTGAAGATTTATCTTACATGAAATAATAAAAGAAATTACTTACCCTAATAACTTACCCTAACAAAACAAAGACTTATTAAAAATATAAGTTTTGTCATGGTACATGGGGGCTTATTACACAGGAAGAAGCACTTATTTAACTAAAGAATACTATGGCACAAGAAATGAAGATGGACAGTGGAAGTCATTAAAATTAGATGAGGATTTCTATCAGAGTAGTGACAGTTTGTGAAGTCTATAGTGTCTTTCAGTTGGAAGAGAAGAAATTTAATTATTCTGTGAGAAGACTGTATGATATAATTCCCTACAGGACCAGTAGTAGATAAAATAGTCACTCATGGTCCCCTTCTCTTTCCAGAAAGTTGGGGGCACTTTTTTTTGTTGTCATTTTTGTTTGTTTGCTTTTTATACTAACCAGACTGTTTAGTGTACTTTTGATCTGTTGGTCATGAGACCATACAATACCACTTTTGTTGTATCACAGGGTAACAAACCTTTTTTTGAGTTTCTGAACATTTGCTGCATCTTCTGTCCTGAAGTCTTCCCTCTTTAGCTGAGTGAGTGCCAACCATCTGGGATGAAGTCAGAGTCAGCTTCCAATCAGAAGACAATCATTCACTCACTCTAAAGGACAGAGTTCAAATTCTAAAATTCATTATTTGAGCAGAAATTTACTTTAATTATTTTTTTTTCTCAGACTATCCAAGAGATTGTTTTGAGATTTTTCAGCGCTCCAAAGGAAATTCCAGAGATGGTCTTTACATCATCCAACCAAAAGAGGACCCTATTGTTGTCTCTTGTAACATGCAGGATGGTGGCTGGACAATAGTCCAGCACATTACTGCCAACAGTACTGTCGACTTTGACAGGACCTGGCAGGACTACAAATATGGATTTGGCTCTGTTCATGAGAACCACTGGTTAGGAAATGAATATATGCATCAGTTAACTAGCAGCTCTGTGCAATATATACTTGGAGTTAAACTTGTAAACCTAAATGCTGAAATTAAATGGGGACAGTATGAACCATTCCTTATTGAAGGTGAGGAATCTCAATACCGCATTAGGGTCGGTCTATACAAAGGTAATGCCACTGATGCGCTGACCCTGGACACAGAAGCCTATCTCCATGACAACCAGAAGTTCACCACCAAGGACAGAGACAATGACAATTACTTTCTGAATTGTGCTAAACTGGAACTCAATGACATTCCTGGGGGAGGCTGGTGGTACGACGCGTGTGCTGGAGCAAATCTAAACCGTAGGAACATGATATACTGGCAAAAAGACTGCAACAAGCAACGCCTATGCAAGTTTGCATGGATGATGATCAAACCCATTGAGCACCACCCGTCATCTCCATCAAAGTCCTGCCCGTGTCAGAAAATTGAACTGTAGATAAGCCATGTGTACTTTGAAAGGAACATGGACTTTTTGTCCAGTGACTGAAGAGAACTCACTGACTGAATAATCACACTAAGTAAATATGGTTGAAAATTTGAATTGGGCCTCTGCAAGGGATTTATGATAACATATCTTCCAGGACTGGACCATGTCATAGAAATATGCCAACCACACAAGTGAGAAACTGTCAGAAACTGAGGCCTCTACCACAAGATTTAAATAAACAGAAGATTTAAAAAAATTCATTTTATAGTATTTTAGCCATAAGACAAGCCAGGTATGAAATCCAGTATATGATGTCTTGATGTCTTATACAATATATACATGAATATAAATGCATTTCAGAAGGTTTTGTTCCAATATCAATGTTCATGATTGATCTCCTATAATTGCACATCTTCATATATGATGCATGAGAGAGATTTCCAGTGAAGTGCCTACATTTACAAAATGCATATTGAAGAGTATGTGTACCATAGGGCAGCAACAGGCCTTTTCTTTCTAACTTTAGTGAACAGTATTTTAATTTATAAAATTGGAATTAGCCTTATCTCCCATGGCTTCTTTCCCCATTCACTGACTCTTCTTTTATCTCTACTTTTTAATGATCCCATACACACTGAAATATTCAGCATAGGTTTTTCTTTTCTTCCTTCAATTTAGAGCACCCAGCACTAATGGGATTGTCAGCTTTGCCATTTAAAGCTACTAATCCAAAGCTTACAACACATCTGAATATTTCCCCAAGAAACTCAGACAACACATTTTTTAAAAGATCAAATTGATTTTGCAACTGTTTATTTATTGCTTCATTTTTTCCTGAATATCACTTCACTTTGTTTACCATGATTTGACTGTTGCTTCTCCCTGTTCCACGATGTGCTTCAGCTTTCTCTTTTTTTAATACCACTGTGAGAAAAAAAGACAGCATTGCATTTATTTCACATTTGCTAGCTTCAATTGTTTTGGTACTCAGATCTGACATTATTTAAACAATGCCTTTTTTCTAATTATAAAATAAAATAAAAATTATATATTCTTCTGTTTTAAAATAATAAATAAAAGAATTTTAGCTTTGATAACCTCGAAGACCTTGTTTTCTTTTACCTCCTTTTGAGTTCCTTCACACATTTCTATACCATTGGAATAGCTGAATAATAATTGAGGAGGTTTTATTGTTGCATTATACAAAGTGTCAGGATAATAATTAGATTATCATGTATATTTTCTTAGATATTTCAGTTACAGAAACTCAACAAACAAATACTGGCAAATTCCTTCTTTTTAATTTAAAATATGATAAAATATCATCATTTTCACAAAAATTGCTTCACAGAAAATAAATCATATTGTGTTTTGAAAAGACCAAGACTACCAGGATTATTTAAGAAGATAAATTAATTGGGAAGCAGAAAAGCCAAAAAAGTAATATTTATTTTTTCATGATGCACTGCAACATTTTCAGAAAGAGATACAGCTATGTTGCGTGGGTGACGCCAACCCAGCACACATGTCGATTTTGCAGCATTTGATTTTTTTTGTCCCCTGAATTTGTGCTCAAAGACAGAAGCGTGATACAGGAGGAGACAGTTAATACCTGAATTGAGTTTATATCATTGAGTCAATTTAATGTGGGTTCTGCTGTAATTCTATCAGGATGCCTCCAAAGTTGTAATGAGGATACAAGAAAATCACCTAAGTGCTGCCAGTCTCCCACAGCTTTTATTTGAGTTCCTGGCTATATAGCCAGATTCTCACACACCTTCCAAAAATATGTTTTGAATAACCTTGACATCAAAGCACATAACAGAAAGTCCACAGGCTGCATCTGATCATCAAAGGCAAGTAGCCTGCTCTGCAGCCCACCCTTGGCCTGTTTTGGAGAGTTTTGAAAGAAAGGACTCTGCAAATAAGTTGCATAAATGAGTTGGGCACTGGCAGCCCAAATCCAGCTGCCCAGTTCTGGAGGAACTCTAGTATTAACTAGAGCCCTACAAACCTATACTGATACTGAATTCCAGTACAGGAATTAGATAAAAATGCTATAAAAACTCACAAGAAGTCTACAAGCAAGACGGAAAAAAAAGACAGAAATATCAATTCAGTTCAAACAAAGACATTTAATGGAACTCTGGGACTGAGGTACATTCCACACTTCTAAACAAACCATGGATGGATATTACTATTGGAGCTGAATTTGGGACTAAGTAAGAATATTCCAAAACATCCACCACCATGGAACCGTTAAAAGCGGACTAAATTCTACTTCATAATTCCCTAGCAAAAGACTATCTTAACAGACTTTTTTTCTTCCATTGCTGAACCTTAATCACCAGATTGCAGAAAGGCAGTCCAGAAGGCAGCTGGCCTTCAACACTGAGTCAGTGAAATCTCAGACCGAAGCATGGGGGTTTCCATTCTGTCTGCTCCTGTTTTCTTTTGCCCATCACATTTCTCCTATGCTCTCTCAGCCTTTCCTGATTATACTGTCGCCTGCAGCATAAGAAAGGAGGAGAGTCTTCCCACAAGTATCTGCTGAAACAAGCCTATTAGGTCAAATAAATATCTTTCCAAAATGACAAGGTCTAGAGTAATAGGTTTCAGCTCTAAGCACCTGTGAATGGGAGACGTTCCTTTTTTAACAAGCAATCTCCTAACAATAGCAATGAAATACTTTTCTTCACCTCTTTGCTACTTTGCATTTCTCCCTATCCCTGTTTTCTCAACTGCAGGAAAGACAAGCACATTCTCACATACCGATACCACATTAATCAACTCAGAATTTATTTATTTTTGTCTTTAAAAATCATTCAATTTTCATATGAGAAAATGCTTGCTCTTGTTTCTGATTTCTTGGCCTTTCATGTAACTTTTTTTATGTGTTAACCGTAGGTTTAAAACTATGACAAAGTGGTTTTAGGACCGAAAATCCTGTGCATCAATAAATTAACAACATTAGCTGTCCCACCTCGTTCTTATTTCCTAGAATTAACAAGGAGTGAGTCCTTTAGTCACTCTAACATCTTCTGCACTTCAGAAGGCATCAGGGCCCAGGCAGAGTTGAATGCAGCTGTGCTCCGCAGCTGGTATCCTCCTCTGCACCCTCTCTCCACTCTTCCTCCCATAGCTGAAGAATTGCACACCTAAGGAGGCCTTATGGACAGCATACAGTAAAACCAACTGTCTGACTTCCACTATGTCTAGGTAGCTGCACCATGTAAGGAGTAAAAGATATTAGAGTTTATATCTTGGCATTGTAATCTGGGGATTCTATATAACCCCCAAACTTAAAATGTCTACTGAAACAGGAGCTATCAGCAACCTGGGTTTGGAGAAGTACCTGTTGAAAAGAAAACTTTTGAAGGACTTCAAAGATTTGGGTTTTTTTGAGGAAGACTGACTGATATATCAGCAGATACACATAGAAGCGAATGGCATTTAGTGGCTAACAGCAAAAGTATCGAGTAAAAGGCAGCACTTTTACTGAGTGTAATGAAAACTGAAGTTCCTTAATTCTGAAGAAATACACCTACCAAGATAGAAAGAACAATTGCAACACCATCCCTTTCTGAAACCACTAATAGTCACAGATTATCTCATGTTTTACAACACAATGTTATCAATTTTTTTAAACTAGTTATAGTTATGGCAACACTATTAATAAAATCATAAACAAGATGCTTATTTGAATGGTCAAAGTTTAAGGCATTATGACACAACTGTTAATTGTATGTGGAAGAAAACTTCTTAGTGGGTTCAAAAGGCAGCAACGGAGACTTGGGATGACCATGTATGAAATAATTGGCTTCTCTCTGATTTGGTAGGAGGAAAGCCAAGCAGTTAAGTGAAAAGACACAATATCCATTTCTGGAGTTAAGATTTAGCAGGCTGTTTCAAAACAGAAAAGCCACTGATTACCCAGCAGCTGCAGGAGCATTGCAGGAACTGATGGAGGCCTTGGAGTCCCCAAGGCAAACACTGTGGGCATTTCAAAGGAAAGTTCTGACCCTGCTTTGTAGCTCATAAAAGTAGTGAATGTGGGCCATTCTTGTGGTTTTTTGTTTGTTTGAGTTTTTTTAAACCTTCTGTAATATCAAAAAGAAGGAAGCAGTGTGGAGTTTTTTGGGCAGAGTTCTTTCCAACAGAGGGGCACCTAGATGTACACTTCACAGCAAACTGACTGTAGTAACTCCAGCTTGATTGTTAGGTATATCTGAGGAAACAGGTTTTTGTTTCTCACTAAGCCTAAGTAAGAAACATATTCATATTCTTCATATTATTTCTATCTGTATAGAAAGGAAAGAAAATGAATTTCAGAGGAAAACTACATCATTCTGTCTGTTTGTTTGTTTACCTAGAGCAAAGAAACCAGGGAAGGCAGCCGTAATTAGGTCCCCTAAAAATTACAGAGTAACTTTAAAAAGGAAGCATCCAAAAATTCTCTTTCAATATGAAGATTTTGGGAATCCAAAACTACGAATGGGCAATTTGGAAACTGTTTCCTACCACAAGTAAAGAAGCATCTTACAAAATCCTATTCAAAATTCAGAATCTGAACAAAGTCCACAACTATTAAGTTCAGTTTTAAACTGGGTATCCAGTTCCATAATAACTACATTCTAAGAGAAAACAGCACCTTCCAAATCGATATGGGATTCTTTATTTGTTGTAATGACTTTTCAGTTAAATTTAGCATGCTTAGCACACCTCAGTGAGATTTTTATTCCTTCAAGGATGTGACTATCCTTACCTGCATTTGCATTAAGATTTATCAGTTACATTAATTTGACATGTTCAGGTCATCTATCAAATATGACAAGGAGGCAATGTCACAGATCACTGAGAAAAAGCCCTATGTGCCAGATAAAATGATCAGAATTAGAGATGGGGACTTTTTATGAGACTCAGCTCTGAAACTGGAACAACATCTAAAGTGTGATGAGAAAGTACAGTGAAGAATTTTGCTTTGAAGTCCATCACTGCCTCTGGATCTAGACTCCTCAAGTCCATATTTCCCAGTGCAGGGAATGAGATGAGGAACAAAAATCCACAAATAAAAATAATTTACAATAGTTAATAGCAGTTAATAATTGACATGAATAGTTGAGTAGGATAAGAATTATTGGCAACTGAATTGTATAATTAATGGAAAAATATTCTCTATCATATTTTACAGGTTCTTAGACTATTTTCTCTGTAAGTCTTTTGATTTCATTCTTTTGTAATTCAACAAGATTTTTTCTATAAAGGAAACCCTTGCATTTATGGTCTATCATGACTTTCTGTCCTTTGCAAAGCTCTTCACTCTAAGTAGTCACGGAAAGTGCACAACGGTATCCAGGTGTTCTATACCTGTTAAAAAATTCTGGGAACTATTCCAATTATTTATCTACAAACATAAATTATATTTACAAAAAATTAATGTTAGTTGATAATTTATGGGGATCTGGAACATACAGGGAGGCTGGCATATATGAAAAGGTAGAGGCAAAAATCCTACCCCAAGTCTGTGGGAAAATTCAATACTCAAAAATATAAAAGCTGCTGGGTCTCTGAAAAGTTTAGTTAGGGATGTATATTTATGCATCTCTATTGATAATACATACATATATTTGTGCATATATGTATGTGTATGTAATTATGTATAAATAAAATGTAATTTTACAAAAAACATTTCACTAGTCCATGACCATAACCAATTATAGGATCAGTAAAAATGTCATTATAACTACAGAAATACAGACAACAAGATTGTCCTACACTGCAAAAGTCCCACAACACTTTTCAAAGGTACAAAATATAATTAAGTACTAAGTGATACTCTGATGACAACCACATTTATCTTGTGATTTTGATTTCTTTTTTAAGAAAAAATATCCTACATAACAGTAAAGCAACACATACCTCTTTATATAATTCTTGATATTTACAATGTCCTCATGTTTGGCCATGTAATCTCTCACATGATTAAGTGCTAGCAGCATAATTTGAGCACATATTTCACAATTATAATAAATCAACATTGTTGCATCCATCACCATGTATTTTAATACATTAGCGGAGCACAGAGTCCATAAACACTTACAGAACATTCTTCAACAGAAATCGAAACCAACAAAAAATATCTCATTTAATTTCAGTAGAAGCCAATGATTCATTTTAGCAATAACAGTGCAGCTAGCAGGAACTGTTACTGCCTCATAAATTTTGCCATTAACTACAGCTTTTGCCCCAGAGGGGCACATTCATTTGCTAAAAATCAAGCATAGTTTACTGAATGTCTGATCCAATGTAATATAAAATAAAGCCACTATAATAACCAATGTGTACATAGTTACTGTACACAGGAAAAGCTCTGGATAGTGACAGAGCAAAGTTGATGAAAGGGTCTTTATAAAAACCTCTGCTTTCCTTTAATAAGTAATCATATGCTAGCGCACAAAAAATAATAGGCACAGTACGGTGCATTACAAAATCAATCGTGAATTTAGAGAATATATTTTTACATTATTACACTGCTAACCTTTCACTGACACAATTTTGCCCTATGGAGACTGGGGATAAAGCAAGTGTTAATTACTTGTACTGTGATTGTTGAAATGGTGGAATTATTTATCTGTAGGGAAATTTTTGATGGTATGATAATTTAATAAATTATACAAATAATTTCACCGAGAGCAATGGTACATTCATGATAACTAATACAATCCCTGAAATGTGCAACTGGGTCATGTCACCACTATAATGTCCCACTAACGTGTATAGCAGATATTATATGAAGATTGTCCCAAACTAATATTCCAGAGTATCTCACTCAGAATTTTAATAGAAAGGCTAGAAGTGAATTTGAACTTTGAGTACTCGAAGATCTTTCTCATTTATTCATAAACATTTGTTTCCTTTACATCTTCATTCCTCGTGACTCCTGTTGTCATTAACTTTGTTTTCTCATGGTCTTTCCTGAGGCTTCTTGTTTGTTCCTGCCAGAAAGAGGCAGGTCAGCAGCTCTGTTCCAATGGCCTTCTGCTGAAGGCAGCCCCTTGCTTATGCACCCAGTCAGTGCTGCAGGACTCCTGCCAATCTATCACAGACATCAGTCAGGCACAGGCAGTTCAGCCTCAGCACCAAAAGCCCCAGCAAACCTCAGTTAGTGGCCAGTGCCTCAGGTCATTGTAACTAGGCCAGTACAACCCAGTCCCAGAAGCTATAGCCACCTGAGGGGTTGACTCCAGCCCCCGGTACGGTAGCAGAAATGGTTCTGCTGGACTAAAAGACAGTACCTGAAGGTAACTTGTGTTTCCAAGCACCTGATACTGACTAGTATTTGTAAAGCTATTCAAAGACAAAAAATGTAAAGTGTCCTTAATAGTTTTATAGAAATATTCAAAAGATACTTTAAAAAATCTTTCAGGGATGCCAATTCTGTCACTGTTTACATACAGGTAAACATACAGTGCACCAATCCTTATTTTTCTCTTGTTCTGCATCATTCCATCAGTAATGGAAAATTCTGGGCTCAGGGGAAGCACAACAAAGGTGATTTGGAAAAAGGCTTTCCTTGTGTTGTAGATAGACTGTATCCATTATGCTTTACAGTCAGTATTGCATAAAATTTTAAAATTTCCTTCAGAGGTACTGGGAACTGGAGAAATTTAGAGATATCTGCTAATCAACACCATTTTTGCAGATGACAGTCACTTGTATGATGGATTGGGACTGAGATTGGGACTGGCTTCTTCATATACAAAATACATTATCTATTCCCTTCACTATGAGCCCTTCCAATGTCTCCACAAAAGTCCTCCTTAAAGTGGAAATTTTATCAGTATTACAATTTCCTGCAATATGTGTGTTCATTTTGAGTATTATTAATCTCCCTAACCATTTAGTATTGGGCATGACAGCATTTATCCCTTTACATATTCCTTGTTGCATTTTAACAGCAGGTGGAAAAGTCTCAAAACAAAAGTATTACAAGCTCCATTGCTTGGTACATTGAAAACTCAATAGACAATACACTAGCAAGGAATTATAGAAAGACAGGGAATTACAAGGAGAAAGACGGGATGACCTAACCTGATAACTGGATGATCATCCCAGTCTAATTTCTAGTAGTTCATAATTTACTCTACATATTCTTAGGCTAAAAGAAAGGACATAAGACCCCAAACATAGTCACTTTAATGCAGATCTACTGCATAGTCGAAAACAAACTGTGTCGTTCATAGCAGCCACTGACTTTTTATCCCAAGCACGCACTATTTTCATGCAAAATTTAACTTATCAGCAGATTTTTTTAACCACTAGACATATAAAGCAACATCTTTGAAAAGACAGAATTACAGTCAATTTGCTAGGTTACATCAATATATATTTCCCCTTATTCCTTATTCAAAAGCAATTATGGCAGTCTGGTATTGCCGTGCCAGTATAGTTTCTCTTCCACTTTTTTCTTTTTCCACTGGCAGAAAAGCAGCATCTTAAAAGTCTTTCTGAAAGTTTTATTACAGAGGGCATAACACATGGGGTTAACAGTGCTGTTCACATAGCATAGCCAATATCCGAGGTGCCACAGTGTTACTGGAATGCATTCAGGGCAAAATGTGGAGATCAAAACCATGATATTATAGGGAGTCCATGTCATGATAAAAGCCAAAAGAATGGCACTTAAAGTCTGTGCTGCTTTGCGCTCCTTTATAAGAACCATCCGTTTCCTTTTGGTGATTTGGTTATTTATATTCGGATCCATGCTTTTGATGGAAGGATCCTTTGACAGAGCAGCAGAACAAGGAGTTATTTTTACTTTTTGGCAACCATTGTTGGCTTCCTGGGTGCCATCAGTTTTAACCACCAATCGGAATTTATAGGCTACACATTTTTTACTTTTCTGTATGTGGTCTTTGGCAGGTGACAAAAAGTATTTCTGGTTCTCAAAATCATTTTCTTCAGGTTGGTCTTTGACAACAACATCTGTACTCTCATGAAACTCTTCTGCCTTACTATTAGATGGACTTCCATAAGTTACTTGGAAAACAGAGTCAGTGGCAAGTTTATCCTCCTCTTCTGATGATGCGTAGCTGCTGCAGGTGGTTAACTGGTCAGCCTTGGCCCAGTCGATACAAGTACTCGCTGCCTGAGAGGCTTTCGCCGTGGCTGACGTACTTCGACTAGATGAAGACCAAGAAGCCTGACACCTCTCTCTTTTGACTAAGTTTTGTTGCTTGCAACTGAAGCAAGACTTCAGGAGAGCTTTCTGAGGCTTTATTGCCTCAAACTCTGCCACAGACTCTGAACCCTGCAGTTCAGCAAGGTCCTTGGTACGTTTCTCTGTCTCTTTATAGATGCGGCAATACAGAATGGTCATCACAGACACTGGAATGTAAAAAGCAGCAATTGCAGTACCAAAGGTGACAATGGGTTCATCTAGAAACTGTATCTGGCACTCTTCAGGTGGTACTGTTCGTTCACCAACAAAATACTGCCAGCACAAGATTACAGGTGCCCACAACACGAAGGAAATTAGCCAAGCCAGACCAATCATGATGCCAGCTCTTTTGGGCGTGCGTTTGGCCCTGTAAGTTAAAGGCCTTGTGATGGAAAAATATCTGTCAAAACTGATGACTAGAAGGTTCATTACTGAGGCATTGCTAGCTACATAGTCCAGTGCTAGCCACAGGTCACAGGCAAGGCTTCCAAGAGACCAATGGCCTATGAGTATATAGGACGTATAAAGGTTCATAGAAAATATCCCAATGATGAGATCTGCACAGGCAAGGCTCAGCAAGTAATAATTGTTGACAGTTTTGAGCTGACTGTTAACCTTAAAGGATATCATTACAAGAATATTTCCCACTATGGTTATTAAGCTTACAATTGCAGTTACAGTGCCAATAGTAATGACTTCCCAGAGGCTATGCCCCTCTAACTGCTTATGGTTGATTGATGAACTGTTTACAACAGTAGAATTGCTGAATAAATTGACTCCCATTCTTGTTCTTGGTGTATTGTCATCAGGATCTTAGCAGTGTTGCATATTAGTTTCTGTATTCAAAAACATCCTTTTGGAGATAGCTATAAAGATCAAAGGAAAAAAACCAGAAAATGAAAGTACCTCATTAAATAGCACAGACTTCCATTAGAATTATCATAAAAACACCTGTAAAGCAACCTATCAAATTATTTGTGTTCTCCTTTTGCATTTAGGTTATTCTTCCTACCATTGCGAACATAACTAAAACCCACAAATGTACATCTTAAGACAATGTACTCTGACATTTTATGTCATTTCAAAAAGCAATGTAACTATTGTTTGATAAGATAGTCAATCACACCAGCTCCTACATTTTGAATACCTTAGGAGACACCTTATTCAGAAATGAAAGAAAAATTATTAACAGGTTTTTCTATTGGGCATATAGCATATAGCTAGTGTAAAACTGGTAAGATGATCCCTTTTTTTAAAGCAGACACTGGTTCATCACTACTGAAGTCCAGCTCTAAGTCATTAGGATTCTCTCTGCATCAGATCTCTATTATACGGTCCTCCCTATCCATCCACACCACTTCTCTGTGTTTTCATCTTTCATCCTAACTCTCAGAAAGTTGTTATCTTTGGCCCTGGCAAGTAGCTTCTACAGCCTATCCCTTTCGCACATCTATCTTTTGTACCAAGTAGTTGGGTCCTGTCTCTCATCAGCTGAATACAAGCTTTTACAGCCACTAGTTGAACTTTCAGAAAAGCATCTCACTTTCTTTCATTGTCCTCTTTGCCCAGGGAGGTATCATCTGAACCTGGTGATATGGTTTAGTGGTTTAGGGGTTACAGTGGCAATGCTGTGTTGGTGGTTGGACTTGATGATCTTAAAGGTCTCTTCCAATCTCGATGATTCTATGATTCTTATTTGCTTTCTTTGTTTCCTTCAGTTTTGCCCCTGATCTCCTAAGTATCCACAGAAGTTTATCTACTTTAATCTGTATCTTTCTACTTCAAACACTACCTAATGATTATCTCTTGTTGTGATGAAACTGGATAATGGCAAGTTTCCTCATGTACCAAGACTTCTGCCTATCGTGCTCCTCAAAATCATTCTCCTCCATCTGTGTGTCTGTCATCTCCTGTTTTATATTTAAATATTTGTGCATCTGTATTCTGTTTATACACAGCATATATTGAACCTAATTCAACAGGATTCTAGTTCATGTATAGGCCTTGCAAACTAGCAATACTTATAGTATGTGCATGCTGACCATCTGTATGCTTGGCTCTCTCTCTCCAACCTGCAGAGCCAGTCTAGCAGCCAAGAATGCTGAAGTGCGACAGCAGTCCTAATGAGCCTTATACAAAAGAAGACACTCCATCCTGGTTCTGCATTCTGCAAAGACTTCCCCTAAGCCAGAGCTGCCCTGATGGCTGGCTGTGCTGGCTTTACAAACCTTTACACAACCTTGAAGAGTAAAAATTAATTTAGTGTGAAACAAAGGTGTGTGGAGCAGCTGTATGGCTGTGATAGGTAGCTGAGCTCTGAGAGATGAATCTCTATCTCTGCTACCTCATGTGGCTTATGTTTCTTTTATTGTGGACAGTGAGCAGAGTTGTTCTGCACATTAAAAGTTCCATGTGACAAAATTTTATGCATGGCAGAGTGGTAGTGGTTTTAGTGTGGCAATGTCAGGGGGTGTGAGGGCCATTTGTTTAGCAGAGGAAGGTGAGCCACAGGTGGAGCATGATGCCAAGGCAGGTGGGAGCTAAGACCTCACCAAAAAGCAGCAGGGTGTGGAGAAGCACGTTTGGTTCTTGAGAAGTCTTGAGAAGTGACAGTGATGAGAGTAAGACATAGTCCAGTGATTGCACAGCAAGTCTGTAGTGATGAGGAAGGTCCAAGAGCAATCCAAGAAGCCGAGCCAGCAGGTTTGAGTCAGGATCTGAGTCAGGATCGAGGAGATAGGACACCAGCTGTAGATGTAGCTGCTGTGAGGGTCAGTGGTACAGCCTCGGCTTAAAAGCAGTTCCCAAGGGAAAGGAGAAGGAGGCTCTCATTTCTAGCTTTCTTCACAACAGGTCTTATCAGCAGTGCAGCTGACCTTTGATTCAGCCAGCTAAACTCTAACATAGCCAATGGTACTCCTAGAACGGGGCTGTGCTCCAGGCCTTGCAGCTAATGTACCTGAAACACTGTCAGGGCTCATGAATTTTATGCAAGTTGCAAGACAGCAGCTAAGGCTAGAGACGGTCTTAAAAAGGCACCAGCTACAAATATCAAGCACATGGATAAATATATACTAACTTCTACATTTGCCTAACATCTGGGTTTGAGCAACTGCATAGGAGATGGTTTCAACTTTCTGCCTTTTCTTGCCAGAACATAACACTTTTCTCAGAGGAGGGAAGACAAGAAATTGTCTAGATGCTGTTGCCTGTAAGGTTTTGTCTTTGCCATAGGTAGCAAGTTTCCCCCTCTTAGGTCACTTAGCTTCCCTAACATTAGGATTTAGGAAGAAAGACTGCTGAAACTATGCCACGTGGATTGCAGACTTCAGAGCAAAAGGAGAAGCAGAAGTTTTTGTTGTCCTGACACAATTGTTCTTGGTTTGAACTGACATGGGTGGTAGAAACACTGGTAATATGGTACAGAAACTACAATTAAATTCTTAATAAAAAGCAGTCTTGTTACCGTCACGCAAAGCCTTCCCTCCCTAACAGGCTATTTTACTGTGATGTCTATAAAAGCTGACAGTAGCTAAGCTACTAGTATGCAAAGATCTTGACATTCTTGTCACCTCTTCATACTCTATAAACTTTTGTTTCATAGATCTGTGTTAACAGTTCATGGCATTACCTTTTGTCATCTGTTTGTGTATTACTCATGGCAATAGTGCCTGTGAGCAGGACTCCAGTGTGCTATGGTAACATAATTTATGTTAATTGTCTATCTTAGAGATGATTATAATAGGGAGATCAAAATTAAATTACAAAATCAAAATGCATATGTACAGTATCATGACTTCGCTGTGTCTCATAATTATGGATATATAATGTTCATGCTTATGAGTTGTAATGGTATTTGCTATTTGTTGCCAAATATTAATGATACTTTTTCAATCTATCTAATCAAGTGTTAATTAATGTGAGTTGTTAAATTTGTACATATAGTCAGCTTCCACTTATCTGGGGGCAGATTGTTCGTGTCACAGATTAATTGCACCACAGATGCAGGCACAGCTTGGGCTCTCCAGGTTTTATTATCTCTATCTCCTTCTGAGTCTGCCAGACCTGTGCTGGCTGCACGAGAATTGCTTGGATGTCTTTGCAACATGCTTGCCAGTGCTGCTCCCTGTTATTTTATTTATTTGCATGTACACTAAGCTAATTTAGTGATTCGCTGCATGCCATGCCCCAGAACTGAGCAGCCCTTACCAAAGGTAGTAGTGCAGAGTAAGTACTGCCCACAATTTCAGAGAATGGGAGTTGTGGTCATATTTTGCTGGAAAGGCTACTGGGTTTAAAAACCTTCAAAACCAGATTGATGTTTTAATGTGTGTTGTCAAATGACAGTCTGCATGCTCAAGAGGGATCTGGCAAGCTGGTGTTAGGAAACTGGTGAACTTTCCCGAGGACACATGGGTGGCTACTTAGTTCAAGATGAGCAGAACAAACCAGCATGGCACAAAGCTGTTCCCGTGTCTCTGCTCTGCATCCTCAGAGGAGGACACTCCTCCATTGGCTGTGGAGTCACCTCACGGGGTTCATGTAGTGCAACCTTCCGTGTAACACCCTGTCAGTCTGAGATCAGTTGCTTTTTTCCTCATTTGCTACAGAAAGCAAAGGTCTTGCATTTGGGTCACAACAACCCCATGCAATGCTATAGGCTGGTGGAAGAGTGGCTGGAAAGCTGCCCTGTGGAAAAGGAACTGGAGATGCTGGTCAACAGCTGGCTGAACACGACCCAGCAGTGTTCCCAGGTGGCCAAGAAGGCCAATGGCATCCTGGTTTGTATCAGCAATAGTTTGGCCAGCAGGACCAGGGCAGTGATTTTCCCTCTGTACTCAGCACTGGTGAGGCCACACCTCAAGTCCTATGTTCAGTTCTGGGCCCCTCACTATGAGATAGACATTGAGGTGCTGAAGCGTGTCCAGAGACGGGAGAAAGAGCTGGTGAAGGGTCTGGAACAAAGGAAGAGCAGCTGAGGGAGCTGGGTTTGTCTAACCTGGAGAAAAGGAGGCTCGGGGCAGACCTTATGACTTTCTACAACTACCTGAAATGAGGTTGTAGCCAGGTGGGGCTCATTCTCCTTGCCCTGGTAGCAAGCAACAAGAGGAAATAGCCTCAACTTGCACCACAGGAGGGTTAGATTGGATATTAGTAAAACTTCTTCACCAAAAGGGTGGTCAAGGAGTGCAACAAGCTGCCCAGGGAAGTGGTAGAATCACCATCCCTGGAGGTATTTAGATGATGTGTAGATGTGGTGCTAATGAACACGGTTTATTGGTGGACACGGCAGTGCTGGGTTAATGGTTGGACTCAGTGACATTAGAGGTCTTTTCCAACCTAAACAATTCCATGATTCATGTGGCTTTAGTTCACCATACTGTTTTCTAAACATTAAATACGTATTTGCTGGAGTTCTTTATTTTTAATACATGTGGATTGCTCGTTGAGACCTCTAGAGGGTGCAGGGGCAGAGCATCCCGCGGCCACTGCCCGCGGCTGTCCCCGGGACGTGCGGGGCTGTTCGGGGAGGCGCGGGGCTGACAGTGAGCTCCCGGCCCGGCCGCGCCCCAGCCACCGGCAGCGGGCGCTGCTGAGGTCGCGGACGCCACCATTTCCCTGTGGCCCTTTTCCCTGTGGCCCCTTTCCGGCAGTGGGCGGAGCGGGAGCGGCGCCGCGGCCCGGGAGGCGCAGCTCGGCCATGCAGGCGGAGCAGGGCGGCAGCCGGGCCCGCAGGGAAGGGGTCCGGCACGGCCGGCGGCGGCCTAGCGGCGCGGCCGAGGCAGCAGCTGAAGGAAGCGGCCGGGACTGCCACGGTCCCGGAGGAGGCGGGGGCCGGGGAAGAGGCGGCGCTTACGGACAACGAGGAGGCGGGGGCCGGGGCAGGCGACAGCCTCGAGGTCGCGGGGCAGCGCCGCCGCCCAGCGCTCCCCAGCACCAGCGGGTAGGCGGGAGTAGAACCCGCCCTCCGCGGGCGGCGGGAGGCGGGGCTGGGCGCGGCTGGGCCGGGGCGGCCCTTGGGGTGGGGGCACAACCCTTCCCTCCCTTATTCCTCCCCTTCCCGAGGTGGAGCTGGGCTGGTAGCTCTTTCTTGAGGCCCTTCCCGGGGGTTTGGCGGGGTGGAGCCGTATTCCGGGGTTGCGGGGCGCGGTGGGACTGCGGGCGTTACCTCTCGGGCCAGCCCGGCGCCTGCACGCGTGCTCTGCCCCCATCGTCCTGCCCTGGCACGGCTCAGCCAGCAGTAGTGCGCCTTGGTGCGGTATACACAGGAGTATTCTGGCCGAAATACGTTTATGATTTTGCGCTGAAGGGATAAAAGTCTTGTTTGAAAAATGCATCAGAAAAAATGCATCTCTGTTTACAAATAGACGTGAAGAATTGCTGAACGTTTTTGGCATAGTCGATTTAATGGTTGTGCTCGGATGATCTTTGAGATCTTTTCTAACCTTAACGATTCTATAGTCAGAAGTCGAAATGAGCGTGTGTCTTGTCCAGCCTGTTTTACTGAGATCTTGCGTAATGGATATCTGTGATTCATTGGAACACATATTTACCATTAGTACAAGTTAATGGTTGTGCTTTGACTAATTATAAAGTATTTTAGCAGATTAAAAGTAGCACAGACATACCAGTGTGTACCACAACTGCATCTGCAATTTCCTGTGGAAGTGCTAAAATGCTTTCTGTAACCTACCATGGTGTCAGATTTATGCCTTTGAAACAGTTTCCATTAAAAATACTTTAAAAGTACTACATCCAGATTGTCTCGCTTCCTTTAGCATTGTTGCAACGTAGAAATCTTGATTGTAGAAATCTGGATTGGCAGACACATTACAATGATGCTTACTGATTGGTAGTGGCAGCACGGGGAGACCAGCTGCTACCCCATTTCCAGCATCATGTTGATTAGATTCACTTTGACTGTTACAATGCCATGGCTTCAATTGACTCCAGCCAGTGTTTTATCTGTCTTAGAACTCCCATGGTTGCTGGAGGATTAAAAAAATATAAAATACTAATTTTGTCACTGTATTTAGATACATTTTAGCACTCATGTTTAAAAGTGAAACAATAGCTAAGATTTTCCCAGAACTCTGCTAAAGACTATTCAAGTGTAATGCTCTTCCTGCACTGGAGGGTTTGGATATTATGCATTGTATAGTCTCTTAGTACACCTGCCACAAATCTTGTGCTTAGCAGCTTGGATAGGATGGGCTCCCAGCAGTCCAGCCATACAGCAATGTGCCAGCCTGCAGCTGCTGGTTCTAGTGCTGCTGAGCCAGTCCCGTAATTTACCACTTCTGAAGCAGGGAGGACCTCCTTCTTTCATCTGTGTGGCCAGTTCTTGTCTGACAGGGAGTTACCACCTTTTATTGCCAGTTCCTTGGTGTTCTCTCTGTTCAGCAAGGTGACTTGTATTACCTGAGTGCACCACCTCAGTGAGGGGTGCTTGGTCCAGATTGAGCAGTTTGTGTGAGAGAACTCACTGTCTTTCAGTAACAGGGGGCAAATCTTTTGAAGTGGTGATGTGTGAATGGTAAACCTGGAAAGCTGGGTAATAATACAAGGAGTGTGATGGTCTTACCACATTCGCTTTCCTCACTGTGTACTGAGAAGCTGAAATCTTCTCTAAATTTTTTTTTTTCCAATGAAGTAGAAATTTGCATTAAATTGCATAATATTTTGGCAGCTATATTTCTTAGTCAATTGCATTCATTTAAAACCACTTTTGATCTTAAAATTTTGTGGGTTTGGATGTTTTAATTTAATTGTTCCTAAGCTTGTGTTTGAAGCTACAGGTGGACATTATTTCTGACCTGTACAACAGGGAGAAGAAAGTGTCATGGTGGCACATTCGGTTTTCAGTTTTGTTTGGACACATGCAGATGGAAACCACATTATATGCTTTATGCTACTACAAGAGTCCTGTTATTCTTTGGTTTTAGTCATGGATAATCAGCTGTGTTACTTGCAAAGCCTGTGAAGACCCAGTACCTGCTGAGTCAGTTCTTCACACCTTGGCTGTGTGCTATTGTAGAAGGAGATCAGGGTGCTGTTTGTTTATAAATAATTGAAGTCATACCCTGCATGGTACATACAGCTGTGGATCAGGATCTTAGAGATGAGTTTTCATGATTTCTGTCAGCTCTTAAGGAGGTGGCTCTCTGAGTAACTCCCAGCTCTGCACTTGAAACAAGATGCTGCCTCTCTCAAACATGGAATTGGTTTAGAAAACGTGAGGACAAGTGTTTTTATTCCTGGTTAAGAGGGAAAAAGATCTTCCACCTGCTATGTCTTTTTGTAACTAGTGTGCTTGTTGGTTTAACTGGCTTGATTACTGAAGATTTTGTGTCCTCCCTTCAAAAATGAGTTTGTCTTAATTATGACCAGCTGGTTTACCAAATGGCAGATTTCTTTGTAGATGTGTCATCTTGAATAATTTTTTTTTGTTTCAGTCTGGTTTAGCTGCTCTGTGCTATGTTAAATGAATAAAACACGGTTACAATCACTCATTTTTAGTAAAATGTGGAATTATAATGCTTAAAGTAAAAGATCCAGTTGACATTGGCCCAATATAATCTCTCACTTTTAGTCTAACTCCTCTAACTTGCTCAGAATTTTACATACTGTCAGAATATTAGAATTGCTCTCTCTATGAGATACATCATATTAAAACAGAAACAACTTTCTGAAACTGTGGACATGACACTGGGTTTTATTTTGATGGTCCTTGACCACATTCTTTTGTGGGTTGTTTAAGGAGATTTTTCATTGTCCTTTATGTTTGCAATTTACGAAGTATTTTTTAAACTTTCTATTCAGTTATTTACTGAGTGTGCATGTAATGACTGCTTCAGTGCAGGTGGAATTGGCAGGTCTGTTTCAATGTTCCTTTTCTGGTTTGGGGCACTGGTTGCAGTAAATATTTTATTTTTAAAGAATGGAGGTTAACAGGTGGGTTTTGGTACAGTTTTTCTTAGGTATGGTTAGTTTCAAGATATCATGTTTATTTAGTGTTTATTATATCTTCATTCTTGTGGGCCACGCACATACAGAACTGATCTAAGAGAACATCTAATGCTGTCAGCATTAGATAATTTTTTCCTAATGAGTATGAGCTAAGTCTTTACATTCTAAGCAACTGCAAAAAGCAGTTCACAGACAGTAAAAAAAGCTTGCATTTTTCATATGCAGATATGTTTGATTTCCTTTGGAACACTGTAACACAACTTGTGCAGATAGAAGAATAGATTTCTGGATCTTGAAGACAATAAATCTTTTGATATTTTAAATTAATGTTCTCAAAAGCAACTAAAAAAACCCTTACTTAAATTAATGTACATCAGTTTGTGAGCTGTACTTAATTACTAATGAGGTGTGAAGAGCTTCCCTTCTCAGGAGTTTATCTGCTGTGATGGTTCAGTGTGAAACTGGTGTTTGTTAAACAGAATTCTGCAAGGCTTCATTCTGTATCTGCTCATGTTCAGTGTTTCTATTAATAATTCTGATGAAAGATTAAAATATACAGTGTTAAAATTTGCAGATAGTGCTAAACTGGCAGGAGGGTGGAGCACAGAACGCAGTCTCAACAAATGGGAGAAACAGCCTGCACTAAGGTGTAATTTAAGGTCAAATATTTTGTAAACTACATTTACATAGAAAAATCTATAAAGGTGTGACTGATTAAGCCGCAATTTTATAGAAGGAAACTGTCAGTTTAATGGATGAGAAGGTATCGATTAGCAATGCAATCACACTGAAGAACTGGTTCAATTCTGGGAAGATTTGGACCAGCTGGGAAAGTTTAGAGGGAAGGAATGAAGAAAGCTATGAAGTCTTGAAGATATGACCGAGGAGGACAGGCTCAAAAACCTGGTTCTTTTTGGCTGGGTTTTTTTGTTTGTTTGTTTGTTTGTTTTTTGTTTTGTTTTTTCTTCCTTTTTTTTTTCTTTTTTTTCCTCTATCTGACAAAGAGGACACTTTGAACAGGCCTGTGTAGAAATGTTCCATTAAATAGAAAGGTTGCTGTAAACAGGTCCGTTTTAGGCAGGACAAGAAGAAAAACATTGTTAAGAATCAGAAGGTTGAATTCGGGCCTTGAGAATAAAAATTGTGACTGAAAGGGTAGATAGCTTGTGTAATGGATTGTGTAGGAAGTACTTGGAGATCAGTACAGAAAAATATGTATGGTGAAGGTTACTGAGCCTACTCACTAGAGCTGATGTGTAACCACTTGTCACAGTCCTATTTACTTTTCTTTTATTTTTTCAAGGCTGTCTGTGTGATGGAAAAAGAGAAATGCTTTTATACAGTGAAAGTTAATTTATTCTTTTCAGTTTCTAGACAACAGAGGAACCTGTTTTTCACAGTGCTGGGGACTGCAATGTTTTGTAATAATCCCTAATTGTTTAGTGTAGAATGGTTTAGTGATATTTATTGTTATTCCTTCGTTGTATTTTACCAACTTTCCTGCTAATTTAACCTGAGACACTTGTATTAAAAGCATCCCATTTCACAGGTGAACATGCAGCACCGTTGCTGCATAGCAGCTTCATGTCTGACTCTGTTACTTCCTTGGAAAGAGCTTGAGGTTTTTTATATTTTGGATGGCTGTGCTTTTCTGTCCTTGCCTACTTAAGTGCTTTTGTTCCTCATTTTCCTCTCAAGTCTCTGGGGTAGTAATTTGGTAACTTTCAAACAGGTTATCCCAAATATTTTCTAGCTTAAAGAAGAAACTGTAGCAGCTGCATATTTTGTTAATCATGTGAAACACAACTTTCCATCCTTCTCTTATTTAGATTTAATTACCCAATAAAATAGAGTGGATATTATTCAGATAAAATGAAATGGTAATATTTTGAATAATGGAGAAGAACTTCCCATCATATTTAACTGAAGATTTTAGAATTTCGGATAGGACTAAAACTACACATTTAAGAATCC